GATTTTGGTTTAGTTGTGAAGGGTTAATGTTAGATAGTGGCATTCTAGATGCATAGACATTTGGGGTATGTAGCTGCTGAGTAAATCCTTTGTCAGGATGTCGTGTGTCATGTAAGCGTTTCAAACGTTTTTGTTGAACGACATATTTTCTTCGTGCCCTTGCTCTTTTTGCTGGCTCATTTGTGGGTGGATAATCCATCAGATTGAGAATAGTTATATATGTCCAAAGACTACATAATAGAATACATAGCTAACCGTCAAATTACACGAGAATTCCATCAATAAGAGAGTTGTTAAAGCAAAGCATCATATTATGTCATTGGCATAAATTTTTGTAGGGAACAACAATATATATTAATTGTTATGTGTGGCATATGAATGATATTAGTGTTGGCCCATAGTTAAGGCAATATATATATATATATATATATATATATATATATATATATATATATATATATATATATATATATATATATATATATATATATATATATATATATATATATATATATGTATGTATGTATGTATGTATAAATGAGTCACCTAACAAACATTGGACATTAATATAGACAGAGCAATTGACATAATTGTGGTGGAAAAGTTGTTGGTGAGAATAAATATAGGTCGATATAAATCGTGTGTATAAATACCAATCTAAACTCCCACAGACATCATGGCAGTAAGGGATTGTGGGAGTAACAATTTTCTCAATATGAAAAATAGTAACAACAATGAGATTGGGTTGTTATATCCAAAGTTTCACAAAGTGTCTCAAGAATTCAGAAAGTAGTGTAAGGTAAGCCAAATTAAGCATTAGTTTTGTCAGTTCTAACCATATATATGCATTGAAATAATTTTGTGGTTGGTTGTATCATGTGAAACTGAATGATAAAATGTGTCATGATTTTGTAGTTAATTAAGAAAGTAACTGAAAATAAGAAAGAGTATAAACATGGTTGAACAATTTAAGAGTTGATAGTCACATTATTGAAAGAGTAGTGCAGTTGTTGATAGTAAAAATCGGTCAACCTCCATGTCTGTCAGCAAGAGCTTCAAATAACAAAACTGAATATAGATGTAAGAGTTTCATGGACACTGTTAAATTGCTTCTTAGTAGGGATCATGTGTGTGATTTAAATTTTGTAAGAGGGATTACCTGTGACATACTTTTTTGGTTTAATAATAAATAACTCATTGTATTTGATCACCTAATTAGAAGTACATTAGGAGATAAATGTTTTGAAGCATAAACATGTTTTAGTTAATTGTTAGTTAAGTGTCTAATGAATATGTAAGTGAACTATTTAGTTGGTAACTATAATTTACATGTCTAGCACACTGTGAATGTAAGGTATAGAGAAAAAGTCAGAAAAAAAATCTTGAATATGATGTTGAAAAATGTCAAAAGCTTGAATATGATGTCCTTGAAATTATGCAGTAGCAACAATATTTTTTGTTGCTATGTCATAGTGAGTCCACTTCAAGTTGACATTAATATAAATAACAAAACAGAGTTCTACCATAATGTAGCCATGCTGTAGGCTATTGATGTGAGAAAAGCAAACACGACAAAATTGGTTATGATGGATGTTGGTCTGCATAAAGGTGTAATACCAAGTTTCGTGCAACATGACTCTGCAGAAAGTTAAAGTTGCAGGAGTCTATGCAGTAGCCATTAAATGCTGAGTTGTACAGTTGCTGAAGGTATTCCCAAAGATAAGGAAGTTTGCTAGCTGACTTTATGTATGATAAAGTTAACAGGCTGTAAAACAATGCTAATACTATGCACAAGAACCAAAGGACAAAACTAAATGAAAAACTTAACAGGTTGTAAAGCAAAAAGTACAGCAGGATTTGTAAAAAAGTTAGATTTGATTGAGTGTCATCAAGGAAAAACTAAAGGACATGAGTCCATCAAAATACTATCTAATGTAACTTGGTTTGTTTTCCAAAACATGTACCGTAGGAAACAGGAAGAAAAATAACTATTAAAAGTTATTGCCATGAGTTGATGGGTGTTTTATGTTAATTAGAATGCATTCAAGGCAATGATGCTGTCATGTTTTTGATGCAGGATGCACAAACAAATTGTGATTGCAGGTAGGAAAAAAACTCCAGACAAAGTATTGTGAAGTAGACAATGTTAAGCCATAATAAATGTTGATGTTGCATAAAACAAAGTACTTATGTTGGCAGACCCTTTAGAACCATATATAATTAATATATGACAAATCAAAGTTGAAAATAGAAGGATTAAGGAGAGTCATATTAAGAAGAATTCTTAAAAGTTCCAGAATTTCAAATTGGTAATGATATAGAAAGACATTTGTTTTGTTGGTGATTAAAATCATGTAGAAACATTATAATTATCAAGACCTGAAATGCATAAGTCTTAGTAAGATAAGGATCAGTTATTTGGATTGTCTACAAATATACAAAAGCAATCTGTATTGTGTTTCAAATGAACCCGTTCATATGGTCAATTTATCAGTGTAAGTTTCATACGAAAAATGGATAGACCAAATTCAGAATATCATTGATTGAAAAATAAACATGTCTGATTCATATTACATAATACATAGGTTTGTGCATAAGGGAGTACATAAGATTGAATTAAACAACAATAGTTAACATAGTTGTGCAGAAGTTTGGAATGAATCCTTACACAAATGATCTTAACAAAATATTTGAATCTAACACAAAATGAGGCACTCACTAAAGAGTCGCTCCTTCTTGAGGTGCTTCACCTTGGTTGTTGAATTCTTTGGAGTCAAGACACCATCTTGCAAAAAATAATCAGGAAAAGTAGGAATGGCGGCCCTCTTAGCCGGTGTATTGCTAGAGCAAGTGGATGGACTACAAGTTTGGGTGGCTGAAATTTCTGGATGTGTGTTGTAATGTTGGCCAGAAGATTGTGTTTGCTAGACAAAACAAAACCAACTGGTCAATATCTTATGCCTGTAGTACACAATAGTATATTGGAAGTTTTGCAACATGTTAAGAAAGAAGACATACAATTGGTTCAAGTTCCATATCCATAGCATGCTCTGTATCAGTTTTCAAAAAGGCATCCTTAGAGGTATGCTGCCAAAACATAAGACCACAAATTGAAACCAATCAGTTATGTTCAAAACATGATAAATTTGAAAGTTTACGCATTATGAGTTCATTTCCACAACCAAAATGTACCTCATCCGGTTTAAGGGCTTCAGATAATATTTTGTAAACACCAGGATTATTAAGGATAGTAACAATTGATAATTGATTGAAAAAGATTGATATTTGATTCTAAATGCAAATTGTTGATCCAAAAGTTTGTCTAGGCGTGTGGGATAAATTTTTGGGTTATCCTCTCCAGCCTTGATGAATAATAACATCAGAAACTTAAAGTTGGTGAGTAAAACCATGAATAAGAGAAACATAGTAATCAAATGAATAATGTATTTACCTCCTTCATTAGTTGTCTCAATTCCTTAGCAGTCATAGTAACATATGGAATAACATTTTTATCCCAAAACACAAAGCATTCAACATGATTATCAAACTCGACTTCTACCTCGATTTTGTATCTATGCCATGAAAACAAAAGCGGTTCAAGTATGTAAAACAGGATGCAAAGTTATAATTGAAGGTATAAAACCGATATAGAAAAATTACTTTGTCACAGGTTCAACATCTTTGACTCCACAAACACATATGAATTTGGTGCCAGTGGACTTGTTTGATGTCTTACAACTGGGGAAAGCCTCAAAATACCAGCCATGCTTTGATGCCTTAAATCTCTTGGTAGTGCCAATGGTTGTGGCAAAACAATCCTAGTTTGACATCACAAAAGTTGGTAGATATTTGAAGAAATAATTAAGGTTGTAACGACAATTTAAAAGCTGACCTTGCCGATTTCACAAATGTGACGAATACTCTTGACCTCATTAGAGTTTGTCCAACTTTTGTTGCTAGACTGAACAAAGGATTCAGAAGTCTGGGTTATAGAATGAGTTGGTGCAGCAGTTGAAAGTGTGGATCCTAGCCTGGAAATTTTATGTAGAAACAAAGATAAAGAATGAAATCAAAGTAAACCGAGTTCAGCAAAACTATAGACAAGTATCTAACTATTTAATGTAGGAACATACTTGGTTTTAAAATCGAGAACTTGGGGATGCTCCAAGTTGATATGAGTCATGATCCATTCCATGCATTAGATAGGCTAGGCAATCCAGATGCTGCTTGACAAAATTCAGACATTAAGTTATTGAATTGATAAACATAGCATGCATATTACATAATGATGCTATTTGTAAAAACTTGAGACTAAATATTACTACTAACCGAACATGCTGGTACAAAAATGGACATGCTGAATTTGTATTACATGGGATCATATTGAAAGGAAAAGTTGCATTATTATTTGAGAAAAGTTCATTGTCACTTTGTTATCTAGTTATGTCCTATTAATACATCTAAGCTTGCAAGAGTCATCAGTTTCAAAAGTGCACACTGCAATGGATACCAACAAAATGCAGCAGACAGATATTTCAAGAACTCAAAAATCTTTAAAATAATTGGTGAATTACAAAAGTCAGAATGGTAAAGGGGAAAGATTTATGATACATCAGTGGGAAAAAACAATGGACATGCTGCTACATATGTTACTACTAAATGATGGTAGCATTATAATTTGAGACAAGTTCCATCTAAGGTTGCAAGACTAATCAATTTCTAAAGAGCACACTGCAATGCATACCTACAAAATGTAGAGTCAGTTATTTGAAGAACAAAAATATCAGTTCTTGCATGTGTATCACAGTAACTTTGTTACCTTGATTTTGCTTGCACCATGCGTGTGTTAAGACAATAAGTGTTGGTCCGAGAAACTTGTTGGAGCTATTATAGCTCATGAACTGTTTACCATAATCATCCCATAACGCAAGCTCAATAATATTTCCAGCTCCATCTCTTAGAGTGATGTTGGCACATGATTTCTTACCACCACCGCCCATTTATGTCTTGACAACATCTTGTAAAACCCCGACGACATCTGTAATATATGAGAATGAGAAAAGGTGACAATGTTTTCATATGTATCATATGTAGTTAATTTAATATCCATTTAGTATGGCAAATAACAATATATAACATATGTATAATATGAATAAATCTCACCGTATAAGAGATCAGTGATGGAATTTCCAGTGAGAAAGTCGACAATCAGCTTAAACTTGAATTGGTGTTTCGGTATTTCGGGTATTGGCAATTTCGAAACAGTCGTTCCTCCATTGAAGACAAGTTTCAACTTGTTGGGGCAAACTTTGAATGTGCCATCATTAGTCATTGGCTCTCCATTGTAAAGGCAATAAGTCTCATGTTCAGTTAGCTGTTCAGACCAGTCTTTAAACTCACGGTTCTGAGTTGTGACATGGATTTGATCACCCTACAAAATGGGTAAACATTCAAGGAAATGGACAATAATAATATAGAAACAGAGCAGGTAATGATTACCTGTGAATCTTGAATCACCATTTTGAAATGTTGCAGTCCACTTTTCTCCTTCACAATCCAAAGATCAACAACTCTAATGAGCATTTTCCAAACCTGTTTCCCTTTCTCCAAGTCCTTGATGAGTATTGGGGGTATTGACATGGTTGCTTACAACTTCACAACTGCTTAAATTATTTCTGTGTAAGCAAAAACAATATATTAACAAAAACATGTTTTCATGAAAACAACTTGCATATTTTATAGTGTAAACTAAAGAACCTACAAGGTATGAATATCAACTTGCAAAACAATACCAACTGAAACGAACCAGAAACAACTGTTAAAACAACAATGTCAACTTGCAAAACAACAAAAAATACGATGAAATAAACCAGAAGAGTTTGTATGAATCAGAAGCAGAAGCAATATAAACCAATGTAAACAACAATGTCAACTTGCAATGTCAACTTAGAAAACAACAGAAGCAGAAGAAACAAAAACCCCCAAAAAAGTGAAGAAACGAACTAGAAACCTTTGATGTTAGCAGAACCAGAAGTTTGATGATGTTTGTGGGGAGGAGGGAGCAATATCGTGTGAGTTGTACAAGTTTGATGGGTAACTCAATGTTCAGATGTTTGTAGGGAGGAGGAAAACAAAGCTTGACTGCATCCAATCCACACTTAGGGATGGCAACGGGGCGGGTCGGGGGCGGGTTTAACTATACCCGCACCCGCACCCGCCTCCATGTAACAGACCCGCCCCCGCCCCCAAATCCAATCGGGGGTGAAAATTTACCACCCAGACCCGCCCCCAGTAGAAAACGGGTGTACCCGCACCCGCCCCGCCCCCACCCGCAAAAAATTATTATATTTTTAATTATAATAAAAATTAGTAATTTAATTAAAAAATTGATTATTTTAATAAATTAATTAATTATTTAATTAAAATTTTAATTAATAAATGAATATTAACTTGATTAATTTTATTATTTTAATTTCAATAAGAATATTAATAACTTAATTAAAAGTATAATTAATAAATAAATATTAAAATAAATAAAATAAGGAAATCAAAATAAAATATATTATTTGGGGCGGGGCGGGTGCGGGTGCGGGCGGGTTTTAGTGTCTACCCGCACCCGCACCCGCACCCGTAGTTAAGAACCGGGTTTCACCCGCACCCGCACCCGCACCCAATTAAATCGGATTTCCCCCGTTAATTTCGGGGCGGGCCCGGGCGGGTGTGAGCGGGCCCGGGTTTGTTTGCCATCCCTATCCACACTTGACTGATGGCAATGGGTGAGGGCTTTCAAAGAGAAGAATTTTGGCATTTAGGTGTTTACCGTTTTGTCCAATTGTAGTGTATTTATTTTTAAAGGAAAGGGCAGTGAGGTAAATTTGTTCAAGCTTATTTTGAAGTGTTGATAGTTGATTAAAAATTATAAAATATTTTACAAAATGATTTTTTTAATGAAATAAAGAAGATTTTTTTATTAAAAAAAAGAAAGAATAACAAACAATAAAAGAAAACTAATATATTTTATTTAAATTGTAAATAGTTTGTAGTGACTTAAAATTTGGGGGAAAAATATTTACATTTATGTGATTTTATACTTGTGAGTGAAATCAATAACTGATTTTATAATTAAGCACTTTAACAATTAAAAAAAGTAGATTTTGTTTTAAAGTCTAGTAATAAATAACGGCACAGAACCAAAACCCAAACCCTACCGCCAAACCAATCCTGCCCTAAAATAAATTTAGTTGCTCCAGAGTCAGAGCAACCATAACCATGGGAACCTCTGAAATCGCCGCCGGTGGAGGCCGAGGCACCGCCGTCCCCAAAGAGGTTGACTATGCCAATTACTTCTGCACCTACTCCTTTCTCTACCACCAAAAAGAGATGCTCTCCGATCGTGTTCGGATGGACGCTTACTTCAATGCCGTTTTTGAAAACAAACACCACTTTAAGGATAAGGTTAGTCTCTTTCATTATAGCACAAAAATAAAATATTTATAGTTTTGCTTCTAACTTTGGGGTATGAAAAGGTTGTTTTGGATGTGGGAGCTGGAAGTGGTATTCTGGCTATATGGTCAGCACAGGCTGGTGCGAAGAAGGTGTATGCAGTGGAAGCTACTAAGATGTCCGAACACGCTCGGGCGCTTGTTAAAGCGAATAATCTTGAAAATGTAGTTGAAGTCATTGAGGGCTCCATGGAGGATATTACCTTGCCGGAGAAAGGTTAGTTTTAGTCAAATAGGACATTTATATGTGGTTGCAGTTGCTGTTATATGCTTTGTTAAATGTTGGTTGGTGTACCTTTTGATTGCATTCAAATGTGGTGTTTGAATGACTTGCAGTTGATGTCATCATATCTGAATGGATGGGTTATTTTCTTCTGCGAGAATCTATGTTCGATTCTGTTATATGTGCTCGTGACCGCTGGCTCAAACCAACTGGAGTGATGTAAGTATTGTTTTCTTCCAAGATGTTTATGGAAATGAAGTTTTTCTAACATTAACATTCATTTTGTAAATGAGTAAATCTTTGGTGGCTATTGGTGTTATGTTACACTTGCAATTGATTTTAAAATGTTTATTTTGTAGGTATCCCAGTCATGCTCGCATGTGGATGGCGCCTATCAGGACTGGAATAGTAGAACAAAAATTGGATGATTACCAATCTGCTATGGGTGATTGGCACAGCTTTGTCGATGAAACCAAAGCCTGCTATGGTGTTGATATGAGCACCTTGGCAAAGCCTTTTGCAGAGGAGCAGAGGAAATACTATCTACAGGCAAGTTTTAAACTTAGTACACTTCAAGTGTATTTGTTATGCTTCACTTAAATTAAATGAAATTTTGGTCATGGTTGGAGTTGTTGGCTCTACATCGTGTGCTGGCTTGTAGAGACATAGGCTCGACATGCTCTACAGGGATGAACAATTCAAATCCTCACTTGGGAATTATTTTGCTGGGATTGTGTTAGGATTTATGCTGCAGCGGGGTTGTGCATTCCCAAGAGCCTTCAAGAACATTAAAATGTGTTGGTGGGTTAGGCTACTTTCTGAAAAACCTGACCCAGAAGTACTTTAATCCACCCCACACATAAACCAAACTCAAACTGTTTTCTAGCCTTTAAACCCTAAACCCCCTTGAGCAAGAGTGAACCCCCTTGATCCAAAAGCCTTGGCTTATTTGTAGTCATGCTGTTTTCTGTGAATGCAACTGTGTAAGTGGCTTTGTAATTGTATCGGAAGTGTTGTTGAATAGATGAAACAGCGGTGCTATACCACTATTGTGATGGGGATTTTGATGAATCTGCAATGAAAACTTCAATCCTATCCTTGTTCCACTGCTTTTTCAGTTAGAAGACATAGCAGTAAAAAAGATAATTTTAGGGTCTTCCCTTTTCTTTTTAATAATAGAACTTAAGAGTCTGCACAAGCACAAGACTTCTGTTTAGAATTGCACTACCTCTGTCCTTAAATATAAGACCCTTTTTCTCCTTTTTCTTCCATTTGCTTTTTATTTTCATCTCCCTTATTTTCCTTCTCTGTTCACTTTTTCCCCCTTTTCATTTAACTTATTTGGTTACTTTCCATCTCTTCCTTAACTTTATTCAAATTATTTGTATACATCATACATTCTTTTATACGTAATTCATTTACTTCAAAAGCTATGTGGCTTCTTCCCTTTGCTCATAACGATGGATGATACCGCTGGAACTTCGATTGATGTGTATGTCCGAATGTGTGCTGGGATTCTCTGCAAATAGGCTCTGGATGCTGCTGAATCTCTGTGATTGTGTCTGACACTAGGTGCATTCATGCTTGTGATTATGTTGGTGCTGGACTTGCTCTTGTGGAAGCTGCTTTCTATCACTTATATCATGACTCTGATTTGTTCCACTTCTACATCTTTGTTTTCATTTGGTTTAATCAGAAAAAACCGAAATTGGCTGGGTGCAATGGTGGTGAATAGTAGGTGTAGGTGATTTGTGTCAGAGTGGTTGGTGTCGTACGAGTAGAACTTTGAACAAGAGTCAAACCCCTTCTAGTATATCTACATTTGTTATCATAAACTGTATTTTAGGGAATAACTCACGGTAGAATAGTTTACCCATATCCAATCCCACATAACCTGAGACTCTATTATCTTCTCTAGTCTACAATGGGAGTTATCCCAACTTTCTCGCTGACGATTTCATTAATCCTTTAAGTTATATGTTGCATATAAGACTAATTTATGCTTTTTTAAATTTTTGTAGACATCATTGTGGAGCAATCTTCATCCACATCAAGTTATAGGAACTGCTGGTATAATAAAGGAAATTGACTGTTTGACTGCCACAGTGGCGGACATAGAGAAAGTCAGATCAAAATTTTCTCTATCAATAACCATGGACAATACAAAATTGTGTGGATTTGGAGGGTGGTTTGATGTGCATTTCCGGGTAAGATACTCTAACCTGTAATGACATTATATCTATCCAATCCAATATCATCAATCTTATTGTTTCACGTTTTTACTTACCAGGGACGAAGCGAGGATCCAGCTGAACATGAGATTGAATTATCTACCGCTCCTAGTGTAGATTACTGTACACACTGGGGCCAGCAGGTTTGTAGAACACCAGTTAGTTAATGATTTTTTTCCACAATGTTGGAGAGACATGGTTACCATTCAATCTTTCTGTGATGAATCTGCCATTTATTATTTCGGTGACAGTTTATCTGTTCAATCACTTAGAGCCCATGACTTCCATTTTATTCCAACTGTATGATAATGTTAGTGTCGGATGTTTTAATCATTTGACAGGTTTTCCTTTTAAATCCTCCTACACATGTGGGTCAAGGTGACGAGTTAAGTGTTAATTTTCTCATGAGTCGTTCGAAGGAAAACCATCGTTTGATGGAGGTTGAGCTTGGGTCTGAGATTCAAAAGCATTCTGGCAAGCTCGTTGCACCTTTCAAAAATAAGTACTACATTGAATGATAGTTTCGATTCCTTTGTTCGTGGAGCTTCAAGCAGGTATGCTCTAAATGCTTATCTAATGATGATATTAAATTAAATAGTTACAAATATTGCCTTTCTTGATCCTATTCTATTGAGACTTTTTTTAAGAATGCTACCACACTATTTTAAACACACTTTAATGTTTTGAAAGGTTCCAATTAAACACAACAATAGATGATTTCCGTAACTGATTCTCAACTAGCTATCCTCATTTAGTCTTTGATTTTTTTTTCTTTCCATCAGGAAGGACAAGCACTGAGATTTGTAATGTTATGGAACTGTACGATTGTTGAGGGTTGTATAAGTTCGATTTTGTTTTCAGAAGAAAGCTGTTGGCGTTTTAATACTTGGTTTTTCCAATCATTCGGTTTTGACATGCGACTCTTAAGGATATTATTGTTCAGGCATTATTTGGTGATATGGTTGGATTAACCTCGGATTGGTACTTGATCCCAACTCTCAAGCTAAGCTTGTAGCCCTTTGTGTTATAAATATTTATGATATTATTTACTAATGTTTGTATTTATTGGTTCTTTAATTGTGGGACGCTTGATTGTTTTATTTTGTTTGATTATTATACCACAAATATTTCTATTGGCAACCCTTGAACCTTATTTCTATGTTTGCTTAAAATTGACTGGATTTTGAAATGTTGTCATTAATAAAAGTTGTCATCTAGAGCTTATTAGATATGATTAGTTATCCTATTCTAATACCAATATGTTTAACGAGTCGCACTATGCTACTTGGCACTTTACACTATAGTTAATGAAATGGGATAGTTTATATGGGTTGGTCTGTTGGCCCTGAAAAATTATAGGGCTTTAAAATTAGAATTTATATTTTTTAGGGTTTTTTAGCTCAACTTTAAAAAATCTATTATCCATTAAGGCTAGTCTATATGAACTATGGGTAGTCCATTAGACTCATATTGCTATAAATTATTTTTATTAATATTTATATTGTCTTATTTTAAAATAACACTTTTTTTTTTACCTCACTGAATTTTATGTCTATTTTATTCAATCTTTCTCTTTTAAATATTATACATTAATATAATCAATATTTTTTTTTATTATATTAGTTTCTCTTATATTAAATATTTGAGTATTATTTTATATAATTTAGATATGTCTTGTTTTTAAAAACACATTATAGTATTTATAAAATATAATATAGTACTTAAAAATGCATTATATTTAAAATAATATAGTTTTTAATTTTATTTATAATAAATATTATGATATTTTTATTTTTTTTATTTTTTTATAAAAAAGTTCGTTTAGGGTTGGGTAGTCGGAAGCTCATCTAGAGTTGGGCTTGGGTAGTCATTTTTGAGTCCATATTAAAAATGAGTTTTTTTTGGATCAGTTTTAAAAAGTTCGAGTCCACTAAGGCCGACTCGTTTAAAACAGGGTAGCCTATTTTGACAGCTTTACTTTACAACATCACAGGCTCACTGATAAAGAGGTTTCAACAATTATATTTAGATATAGGGTTTACCATAAGAAAAGCACAAAACTAAGAAGATAGAAGATATAAAGTAATAAAAATGATTCTGATTAATTGTCTCCCATTCCAAAGTTAAAAATGAGCTTAAATACAAGAAAAACCCTATTGAGTTGCACTAATGAGGCTGAAAGGATGAGAAACGGACGCAGCTGGCGCGATGGGGCACATAGAAGTTGCAGAAAAGGGCGGTGCATGTGGTGTAACACCTCACTTCCCAAATCAATTAAAATATAAACATTATAAATAAACATCAGAGTTCTTCCACCCAAAGTGGGATATCACATCATAAAAATCCAACATGTGCTTCATTAAAATGTTTTCACCAAAATACAGCGGGAATATTCATATAACAAAATACATCATATTCGTGATACGTTGCTGGAAAAGAAATAAGTTTAACATAAACAACTAAAAACACCCAAGTCCTGTGCTACGTATCAGAGCATCCTAAGACTCGACTGGCACACCACAAATCCAAGCTAGCTAAGTATCTGGATTATCTGTACTTCCGAAGAAGCACATACCACAACAACAGAAAAGGGGTGAGAAAACATGATCAAAATGTATCGGTAATTACATACATGAAATAGAGTAGTAACTACAACAATCATACAATTCATCACCCAATAGTCCACCAACAACATAATACACCATAATGCAAATATGCAACGCAACACCATGCATGCGGTACCGACTCATTGGTTCTTCTATGGAACCCGGATATATCACCTACGCCCACCCTTGGCCATGATCCGTCCTCACCAATTCCCCACTCAAAGGAATACGAATGAATCACATACAATACACTGAGCAATGACTCATCCCACCAATACATCATGATATGCATACATCAAATGCACAACAAATGAATATACGCACGCAATGTGCACACGATCTCCCAATCACACCATCATACATCACACGCATACATATAGCATACACCAATCAATTATATCATTTAATTCACATATCAAGAAGGTTCACCCTCCAACAGCAGGTATACTCATACCCAAACAATCGGGTACACACGATCATAATGATCACCTTACGATACTCCATATCATACACACTTTCATCAATCATCCACTTAATTCAAATGATACGGAACTCACTTCCGATCACCACCTATGCACCTCACATTATCCATTCCATCATCCCTACACTCAACTTAGACTAAGGGATACTACACAGCTAGCGCACAAAGCACACAGCACAGAAAATCACATTTCTGCTACACTCGCTACCTCGCTCGTTGGGCGAGCGCCTAGCGAATACTCGTTACCTGTTCGCTTAGCGAACTACCTCGCGAATGCAAACAGAGGCTTCTGGACTTGTTCGCGACCTCACTCGCTTAGCGAGCACCTAGCGAACGTTCGCTACTAGCTCGCTAAGCGATGGTGCTAGCGAACTGTCTGCGACTTCTCAAATTCTCACTGTCCAGAATTGCTACCTTGCTCCAATTCAAGCCTAATTTGCCACTTCTATCTCCTATTCTATCAGTACTACAAACCATAAGCATCATACTCATCAATCGACCTATAATTCTTACTCTAACACTGACATCAGATACTTTTACCAACACTTCAGAGTTGCTCTGAACCTTATCCAAATCACACAACATCAACACCCATTCGTCAATGGCAACAACAAATCATCACATATCATCATATACGCATAATTTCATCATAAACAACAACAATCAACATTATATCCACAAATCAACAAATCAATCATAATACCTATGAGGTTAAGGAATCCCCTCTACCCAATTTCAGGTATATACCATCCCAATCAGTTTCTCCCCCTTATCTCGATTGTATCTTCAATTGATGAAGAATCCTCAAGAATCCTCAGCCCTAACCTTCTCCATTTTCTCCTTGCTCTTCCTCTTTGCTCTTCTCTCAGAAAATGTTTATCGTGTTCTCACTTCTCTCTTCTCTCCACTTTTCTAAAATTCCAAAATGTATCGTGTAAACTCTTCTAACTCCAATACTTCTTATTCCTTATTTTTAATTCTAATCCCAATAAAATAATAATAATAATATTATTCTCTCACTAATAATAACAATATTCACAATAATATTAATAATATGAATAATAATAATATTCCCCCAAAAATAATATTATTAATACTAATAATAATAATAATAATAATAATAATAATAATAATAATAATAATAATAATAATAATAATAATAATATCACCAATATTACTATCAATTATTATATTATCATATCCACCCCACGTCACCACGACTAATCCTTACATATCAAGGATAATCACCCACAACACATCAAACACACCCCACCTAAGGGCACACCAAAGCAAAATAATTAAAATAACACCAAAACGACTAAATAAATAAAATGAGTGTTACAACTCTCCCCCGCTTTAATTATTTTCGTCCTCGAAAATTACCTGATGGAAACAATTCTGGATACGCTTCTCGCATCCTACTTTCCAACTCCTAGGTCACACTGCCTCCTGCAACACCTCCCCAAGCTACTTTCACTAACGGTATCTGCTTCCCTCGGAGCTGTTTCATCTTACGGTCTTCAATCCTCAACGGCATTGTCTCGACGGTAAGATTCTCCCGAACCTGAACTTCATCTCTCTGAATCACGTGAGATGGATCCGAAACATATTTTCGCAGTTGCGACACATGGAACACATCATGTAAATTCGACAATTCAGGCGGCAACGCCACCCTGTAAGCCACAACACCAACTCTCTGCAAAATTTGATACGGTCCAATAAACTTAGGATCCAGCTTTTTGGACTTCAATGCACGACCCACACCAGTCATCGGGTTAACTCTTAGGAATACGTGATCACCTTCACTGAATTCCAATTCTTTCATCCGGTTATCATGGTAACTTTTCTGTCTACTCTAAGACGCCTTCATTTTCTCACGAATCATCTGAATCGTCTCAGTAGTCTGCTGTACAATTTCTAGTCCAAGCACCACATTCTCACCAGTCTCATACCAACACAGAGGAGTCCTACACCTCCTCCCATACAAAGCCTCAAACGGTGCCATTCCGATACTAGAATGGTAACTATTGTTGTACGTGAACTCAATCAATGGCAAACGAGTGTCCCACGCACCACATTTCTCCAACACGCAAGCCCTCAACAAATCCTCAAGCGACTGAATAGTCCTCTCTGACTGACCATCAGTTTGTGAATGATAAGCTGAACTCAACTTCAACTTAGTACCCAACGCTTCCTGCAAACTCTTCCAAAATTCCGAAGTAAACCTCAGATCTCTATCCGACACAATACTGGACGAAACACCATGTAGCTTCACAATTACCCGAATATAAATCTCTGCTAGCTTTGTCAACGGGAAACTAATATTAATCGGCACAAAATGTGCAGACTTCGTAAGTCGATCCACAATCACCCATATAGCGTCAAATCCTCCCGCCGTACTCGGCAAACCAGTAACAAAATCCATAGTTAT